GCACATAACGAATGAGGTTGCAGAAAGTCTGCCAAGAGCGCTCTGCACATTTTTCGTACATTGGAACAAATAAAAGATGTCGTCAGCGTACTCTAAATCGCACAGCTTTTCTCCATCTGCCCATTCAATACCAAAATTTTGGAAACCACCAAGTGTGTTCACCAATATTTCGTCTACGACGAAATTGAACACGAATGGCGAAAGAGGGCACCCTTAACGAACACCGCTCCTGATTTTGAACGATTTACTTAGCCCACCGTAGACCCTAACGCCATCAGAAGCACGCAGGTAGAGCGACCGCAATAGGTTCACATACTTTTGCGGCATTCCTTTGAGAAGCAGTAACTCCAGAAGAGCTTGACAGTCAACTGAATCGAAGGTTCCTTTTAGGTCAGGGAACACTGGGATTATTGGTCGACGATGTGTGACGTATTCGAGGACTTGACGCACGGTGAACAGTTGATCGACGCGACCGCGACCTGGTCGGAATCCAGCCTGCTGTTTGCGGATATTCATCCCAGTTAAGGGTGTGAGGCCACGAAGTATCACAGAACTCAATACTTCTGTGATTATCGGAACTAAACTAATCCCGTGGTGTTTGGCGCAGTCGTTGCGTGATCTCTTCTTGAAGATCGGGACGATTCACCCTAGAACAAATGCATACACTCCTCCGACCAAATGCTGCGAAGTCAGCTAGTAATCGAGGCGATAAGAGAATCATCGACCACCCTGAAAAGATTAGGGAGAAGTCCATCAAGTCCCGCAGCCTTCCCTTTCTTTAATGACTGAAGGCAGCTTCGTACTTCCAATTCCGATGGGGGCTCACATGTCATCACCTAAGGAGATTCCGCTGCAATTGCTAGAATCACTGCATTAGCATTGGGCCAATTGAATTGTTCACTAAAATACTCCGCCCAGCGATCAAGTCGCTCTTCTTTATTGTGGATACTGTCCACTTTTATTGTAAATGTTCTCACTGACTGATATGCGACGACCTACGGTGTTACGTATCAGGTGAACCGGTCTTTGACTATTCCCTGATGCAGAAGCTACCTCCATTTCACTAGCTATTTTGGCCCACCAGTTTTCACGATCTTACTTAGGGCTTTTCCTGAGTTTATGTTGCAGGCGCCACCGGTCCATATACTGATCCTGGCAGATTGGGATGTTTCACTTTTGATCCATCGGGATTACTGACTCTTGAGAGATCCAATGCTTTCGGCGAACTTCGGGCTCAGTCCCACAAGCAGTTGGCTGTTGAGTGCATCGCAAATCTAATTTAATCCCACTGTTGGTCCACTCTACTGTCGCGGTTCTCCTAACTCCTATCCCAGCTTCTCCTCATAAAGTGCACAGACAGATGGAATGACCGCATTAGCACTAGGACAATTGAATTGTTCACTAAAATACACCATCAATCGATTAAGTCATTCTTTATTGTTCATTCGCATTACAACTGCATACGAACAACAATACGGGTCAGTGCAGTTCTAGGATGTTGACGGTGGCGTACTAGTTAGCCCCGTTTGTTACAACGGTGGGCTCCAGCCTCCAAGTTTTCCCTTCGTACTGCTATTATCATCCCCTTATTCTGCTCCTCCCCATCGGTTCAGTTTTTAGAGAAACTGGACGTGTAAAACGGGGGTTTGCAAATGGGTACCTAAGACTTTGGAGTACGACATACTTCGCGGTAGCCTACACCAACGAGAGGGTATTTCTTTGGGAACCCTGATGGGAGTTTTTGACAAAAGTCTGACCCGCAAGGCAGCTCCTCCCTATATCCTCATCCCATCTATAGGTAGGTGAAAGAAGAGAACGGGAATCTGGGTAAGAGAGGAGAATGGAGATACAGGACAATCACGTTATTTAGGCGGTTTCTTCGGTGGAAAATCCTTCCCATACGGAGTCCAGGCGGGTCTTGAAACCCCTAATCAAGTTAGTTATCTACTTTATTGGGTAGCCTGGTTCAATCATTTACCATCCTGATGGCAAAAGTTTGTTGCCTTAGTCGGATGGTCACTCTGCTCTTAGCTAATTTGAGGTCATTTCCCCTAAGGCCTGGGTCCTCGCTGGGAGGTAATAGTAGTACAGTTGCCAAGCCAACGTCGTGGAAATTATTCAAAAGTTCAAACGTTTCAATTAAGTTACCCCTTCTCCTCTCCAAGGAGAAAAGTTACAACCTTTTCGGCCTGTTCACATATCTAAGATTCCCTATTTGCGAGAACCACTTAGCAAATTTCCGTTGCGTCTTTTCGAGGATTTTTGTATACCCAACCAGATATGCACCCCCGGGTCTGGACGCAGCACTCCAGACGAGGAAACACAAAGGCCTTTTCAGATTTGAAATTCAAATCACAGGACACAGAGGCCTTCGTCTGTTGATTTTCCTGGTGATGGTGGGTTCCGTTCGTGAAGACTCGCATGCGAGTGTGATGCTTCTTCCAACTCTGCAAAATCTGGAAGGTGGAATGAACAGGGAGACAGTGAGGTATCTGTTACGTGCATTTCATTAGAAAAATAAAGTGAACCCTCATGCATAGGGCAGATCTGGGAATAAGAGATATTAGGAGTAGTCTACCTCTAGTTTGACTCCTTTCATTGTGGAACTTTCAACTAGTTGAGGTGGTAGCTCATTCCAGGCAGGAACAACTCTGTTTGCAAAGAAGATTCAGCCT